ATTGCCAGTAACAGCTGTGAGACTTCTCACAGAATTTTAACCCATAGTTTACAGAAGATAAGATGCTGTAAAAGTCCATTCAGTTCTCATGGGATAACTGCAACTTCACAGTAAAAAGTAGCACGCACTGTTGTGTAATAAACCTTAATATTTCTTTCAGCACTTGCATGGTAGAATATTTAAAAATCTATTTTGTATCTTTCTGTGTTTGCTGTAGATTGCATTTTAATGAGAGGGGAACTAGTAGATACAAAAGGTGATTTCTCAGTTTTATCTGAAAGGTGTCCATTTTGATTTTTGGATTGAATAAAGTCAAAAGTATGTAATATTACCATAAGATAATTATGATTCTTTTCTTAAAAGGGAATGTATGCACACAGCTTTGAGTATGCATAATGAAGATGTAGTTCTTAAACCACAGAAGTAATTCTGTTGAATTCAGCAGGCTTGCTAGCGTATTTGCAACACAGCAATAAAAGTGACTATCTTTACTAGACTAGGTGGAAATGAAGTCACATCTGTGTAAGACTCAATCAGTGGTATTCTGCTTTGGACAGAAGGGTTCAGCCATGCAGAATTGGACTCTGAGTTCACAAGATTGAAAAAAAAAATGCTTAATGTGACCTCTCCACATCTAACTTTAGTCAACTGTCAGTTTTAACTTAGTGAATGAAAATTTAAAACTAAGAGTTTGATACAAATATTTACACTGGCAAAATTTTAATACTGTTGAATTTAATAATAAGACTGAGAATTTAAACTCTAATCCTCTAATGACTGCAGAATCTGATTAAAATAAAGTTAAGTTCCACTGTAATAGATAATGGCTCCAATTAGTACTGAAATAAATTGCCCATGTGATAGAAGCAAGTGTCCACGTGGATCCCTTTGAAGGAATTCTTTACAGCAGACCTATGTTTGTGGAAATACTGTAATGTTTTGTGATAGCATTTGTGATACGTCCTTTCAGATAGAACATTTCAATATTCACATGGTTCGTAGAACTTGTTGTTGATTCAGTTCAGTTGTGCATGGAGCATGACTTTCAGATGTCCTGATTCATGGACATACAATTATGCAACTTCAACATTAAATAACTAGAGTTTAATATTTTATAAGTTGGGACAGTATATTCTGTCTGAGAAGCTACTGATTAAAGACTTTCAGATAGTAATATTTAAATAATTGCTATTGTATATCCTCTGCCTATAGTTGAAAGTATGTCTTCTTCATGTCACTTTATCTTGCATCTCAAATACCATAGTCGGTTCTGGTTCCCCTTTCAAGAAAGCGGGCTTGTAAAACTACAAAAGACCCAAAGAATGACATCAGGAAAGACAAAATGGCATATAATAACTTACAAACAAATGACTGAGTAGTTTTTTACATTACAACAGACTGAGTCTTAACCCAGAGATTATATGTGTATCTGACAAGTTTATTCTTACATTGTTCTGTAAGGGACAAGTTACTGGCTATATCAGCCTTTGCTCTGTTGCAGCATGGTTATTCAAGTTCCTTTTATTTTCACTTTAAAAGTGGATGAAACTGCAAAGAACCTGAATTTATTTCTGCATTTTCTTTTCTTTTTAAAATAGGTCTGAGAATACGATTATTCAATTTTTCTCTCAAGCTCCTAAGTTGTTTATTATACATAATTCGTGTGCTCCTGGATGATCCTACACAAGGACTTGGATGGTAATGTTGGGGCTTTTTTGTTATTTCTGCTCTCAAGGCAATGTTCAACTTATAAGAAATAAATTAGTTTAATGAATAAATGTTTGATATTATGTCAACATGGAGAGCAAGCATGTAGGGAGGAAGCAAGCAGTAAAGATTTTGCAAAACCTTTAACAGTGATGGAGAAGAGAAAATCCATCCTTAGAAATTTAGGCATAGTAGCACAGTAACTGAGAGACTTGAAATTTTACAGCTAATAATACTTCCTAGCATGAAGAAGCTGCTGATATTGTTTTGAGAACTCTAATGAGCCCAAATGCATGTATTATACTACCAGGTTTTGTCTGGTTATGTAGAACAGATTATAACATCAGCACTTCTGCAGCAGGTTTACTTCAGTATTTTTGTATTCATATGCAAAGATTTTTCTGCATTTTGCAGACTGTAATTTCCCAGGCCTTTCCTGATGTTTGTTTAACAGTTCAGTCAGTTAACAAAAATAGTCTGACTGTTTAACAGAGAGTGTATTTGTCTTCTCGCTATATATTATTCCCTTATATTGTGTTTGAGAGACTAGTTAGAGACATCTAAGAGACTAGTTAGTTTGTTCTATCTCAGTATAACATTTGTCTGGCTGAGAAGTTTCAGATAAGTCACTGCTGTGTGCTCACTAAGACCCCAGTCTTAGGAGCTATGCCAAACAAACCAGTCCTGTCTCCAAATAGTACTCCATTAACATCAGTGGTTTTGCCCATAGTGATCTTGAGGGCTTGATACCTAAACTGCTGCCATAAAGCATTTTCACAAATGTGGTGCTAGGAAAAAAAAAAAAAGACTTTCTACAGCTGCTGTGTCACAGCCTGATGAAAGAAACTACTCGGTGTGCTGAGAGCATGGTCACAGAAAACGTCACTTAGTAGTTTTTAAAGTGGCAATTCTGGTAGGAATGCTTTTCATCACAGACTCCTGCAGATTTATTTCCTGTTTTTCAGAAATGCCTGCACAAGTTAGTATCTTTCATTTACTCCTTCATGCACAGCAGGTGTACAGGGAAGAGCTTAAGACATAAAGCACGCTTATTATTGGATACCATTTAGCACCTGTCCCACTCATAATTGGTAAAAATGCAGCTATTACTAATCTGTAGTCTGCAAATCCTTTTCTATTCTGCTGACTTTGCTTGTCAAGGTTAAACAAGGATATTTTCCATCATTTACACAAATATATATTCCCACATCCTTATATGACTGTTTGAAGGGATGATTTGTGCCAGCAATTCAAGACAAGATAACATTGCACATACATAGCAGCTATTTTTTTGCATAAATGTCACCAGTTGCTTACCTGAATTACTGCTGCATGAATCTCCAGCCCTCCTCACATCCTCACAAGAGGATATAAAGCGTAGTTTGATGCAGTCTTTCCTGTTGGGAGTATGGCAAGTATAAGTATATGTGCTCTTTCTATCCCAGCCTATCCCTGTGGTAGGATTTCTAATATCTCTTGATCTTCAATGGTTATTGTACTTAGTTCAGCTTTTGAAAGTATAATTTCAGTTGTTTTGTTTTTAAATTGGAACATGTTTGAAAATAAATATATACTGAAAGGCTTCATAGTCCGTTTATCTAGATACAGAACTACTTTCTAAAAGTTGTTTTACTTTTTAAAATGTCTATAGCCATTGCCTAGGGTTTCAAACTATTGCAGGTGTTTTATAGAACATTCAGTATTGTAATTAATGTCGCTTTCTTCCCATATGTTTTTATTATTGTGTTCCCATATACATTTGCTAATGAAAATGGACTTTGCATGGATGGGATGACAACTATCAGTAAGGAATTAAACCGGAGTTGTTCCAATCAAAACTACACACCTGGAACCATTGATTGGTGAGTTCCTAATTTAAAAAAGTCCACATAATGGTGGGAAGGGGAGGGAAACAGGAAGACAGATCCATTTCCACCTGGAATGGTGACATTTTAACATATAATAGTGATGTTTCCATAACTCTCAAGCAATCACTTCCATGTTACTGAATATTCAAAACTGCCTTTAGCATTTTAATTGTTTCTCTGATTGCATAAGTGAACTGCTGTATTGGATGCTCTTGTTAAGATCTGAATTCCATCAATGCTTATACCTTGCTGAAAAAAAAAAAAAAGATACCTTTATTTAAAATACAATTATGACTAGCAGTAAACGAGTAAGAGTAAACTATTGTGCCATTGAGTGTGCCAGATTTCAGCAGTACTGTATCAAGTGCCTATTATAACTGACTTTAGTAAATACTAAGACAACATGAGATTTTTCCAAGATACAACAGCCCCTATGAGTTAGATATCTTTTAGATTGTCACACAGATAGCAAAAAGTTCACACAAAAGAATTGTCAAGTTTCTTTTTCCTACTACAAGTAATTATTCCTCTGCATCTCTAGAATCAAAAGCTCAAATTAATTTATTCTTTCTGGAATCATAGGGAATGAACTAGCAGCCTCTGAAGCCAATAAAGATTTTAGTGTCACTGGGTGTTGGATTACTGCCCTGAGAACTCAATGATTGGTTCTAGATTAGAAATACAAACAATGTCAATACTCTGTAGATAACTACTGATTTAAAATTTTTATTACTGAGATTTTTTTTTTTTTAAATAAGGTTGCTCGAACTTCCTTTCACATGTACAATTTTTTTTCTCTTTGATTTTGTTCAAAACACTAACCAGATTTTGATTAATTTTATATTTATTTTCTTATTGTAATGATCAGGTCTCCTATTATTTGGGTGAATCGAAGCTTGCCTTTATGGGGATTACAGGTAATATGTAAATGGACAATTTAACTATTTCCATATAATAACTGTAGACAGTAGTATTGATTTCTAGTGTTTTAGTGGTGTTAAAGGATACTTGGAATAGTTGATATTAACAAAGAAATCTACTTGATGACCAAGTACAACAAAAGCATAAAGATAAGCTGATCTGAGCTAGCTGATTTGAATTTATATGGCTTTACAATATATTTATAAAGTATTAAATCTTATAACAAAATCTTTCAGAATTAGATAGCCTTTTCTCTTAGAATTATCAGGCTCTGTTGAGTGGAGTAGTCAGTCTTTGCTCTAACGATGAGTTTAAATTTCATAATTGCTAATGACTAGCTTTTGACATGCTTCATGGATTTTCTTGTTAAATACACCAGAAGGCTGAAGTTACTTTATAAGGTAGAAGCCTACGTGTTTAGAGGATTATGTCACAAAAGATGCATTACATCAGTGCTTTGTGGGTCTTGGAGATCTTTTGAAGTTTGTGTTCAATCCTCAGTGTCCTGGAGCCTGCTTATTTTAGGAGCAGTTTTTTTACTTGTGGACAGTGCTGTGGGAATTCTCCCTGTGAAATGTGTTTTTCTACTAAGAATTCCTTAAGCTTCCAGAAGGGTTATACCATTATACAGTTTATACTTCTATGTAATATACAATTTTACTAAGGGAAGAATCCTTTTACTAAGGGAAAATACCTTTCGATCGCTTGCTTAAAGTATGCACAGTTTGAATAAATTTTGACCTAGACATTCAGATTACCGTATTCAATTTAATTAAAAAACATGGAGAGAGATTTATTTGCTTATGGTTACAGTCTTATTCTAATAAGTTTATTTGATAAACATAAGAATTTATAAATATATGTATGTGCATGCATGTGTATATGAACATGTATTCACAGTAGAATATATACAATAGTTGCAAAAAAGGATTTATTTTTATTCAAGATACAATCTGAGTTTATATAAAACAGCAATACTTATTTGGAGAAATTGATCTATTTTGGTTGCATATTTTAATAATTTTCCAATTCATAGCATATTTTAATTCTAGATAATGATACTGTGAGTGCAAATAGTGCACTCTTCTGAGTTTTCAGTAGTAGTGAGTACTAGTTTAAAATTAGAAGTCCTGAGGTTTGTTTGACTTCAGGCTCCAGCTGAATTTGTATAGCTTCTTGATAAAATATTCCCATAATATACATTAAAATGCAAATATTTGCTATACAAATGATTTAACTAAGCTTTGTGGTTATTTAATATATATAAAGATTTAAGTAATTTTTTTACTATTTTGCTATTTGACTATTTAAATATTTTAAAATTACATAATACATACACTAACTACATATAACCTAAGTGAAGGCTGAGAAGTTGAGCTCAGGTTCCATTTAAATATTAAGATCACTAATGATTCCTCTGTATTGTTTTTTCCTGTTTTCAACTTTCTGAATTATGTACGTTTTTCTACGCATTCAAAACCTCTTTAGAGAAAAGTAAAGAGCTGACTAGCTTCCATTATTTACAGCTTCCTCCTTCTCTCCTTTGTGTTGTGAAAAGATCTCTGTACCTTTTAGGGACAGACAACTGAAACTTGAGAGACAGTCTGGTAGACTGTGTTTGGAACTCTGTAAAAACCATGGAAAGGCCATGTAGGCTCTCTGGAGTGTTATACTTGGAATAGAGCAATGAGACTCAAGTCACAGTCTGTGCTTTAGTGTGATAGTTTCACTGGGCTAGCCCTTGGCTAATAGCCAACAAAGCTGTTCACCCACTGCCCCACCACCTGCAGGAGATAGGGGAGAGGATTGGGGGGCAAGGATAAGGAGACTCGTAGGGTGAGATAAGAACAACTGAAAAAAAGAAAGAAAAGAAAACTTAAAAATAATACTAATATTAAAATAGTAGTGATAATAATAACAGTAACAAAATATACAAATGAGTGATACCCAGTACAACTGCTCACCACCCACTGACCAAGCCCAGCCCGTTCCCAGATAACGATCCTGGAGCAGTGACAATCCTGAACAGAAACCATAATCCAGGAAGAGTGAGAGCCCGAGCGAAAGCCAGAGAGAGCAAAAGAGGAAGAGACCCTCACTAATATACTGGGCATGACATGATATGATATGGAATATCCCATTGGCATATCTAAATGCCAGTTTACCTTATTAATTTAAATATTCCTCACTCCCTTAAATCTTGCACTTACAGACTAACAGAACACGAAGTCCTTCACTTCCAGCGACAAAAACGCAAACGCTGGTGTGTTATCAGTGTCTCTCTCATAACAAGTCCCAAGCTGAAAAGCAAAATGCAGCACTATTCTAGCTACTAGAAAGAAACCCAACTCTGTTTCAGCTAAAACTCAGGACATTTAGTCAGAAAAATAACAATATTTAGGCTTCATGCTTCATCAGAGGGTGCATGGAAAAGCTGTTTTTTGTCTTTTACTTTTCATTGTGATGCTTAATGTCATATATTTTTTAGAAGCCAGTATTAACACACATATTTTATCACTTAAGGTTTCTGTGGCTTTAATAAGTCTCTTTGAAACTCTGCTACTGAGTTATCTAAGCTATAAGGTAAGTACTTTTAGTTATTTTTAGGCATAATATAGTAAGTAAACCAGTCATTTGAGAGAATACTCCAAGGAATTTCCCTTTCTGATACTTGGTAGATGACATATGAGAAATTTTTCAACATGCAGAATAGCGAGGACATCATAGTATATCGTACTACTAGAATACAATGAATTTGCACTTTTAGTACTTTTATGTGGGGAGGAATGCAAAGAACATAGCACTGTATTAAGCTGCTGATCACTTGGATCCAAGAATGAATGGTTTACAATCTGCATTCTCACAGCTTAACCGATTACATGAGGGTTTGCCTTTGGCCAAAATTCTGAAAGATTCTCTACATTAGAAATTTTCATTGCCAAAAGTTGTCACAGACATCTGGCAATCCTCTGTATCGCTGGCACACATGCAGTCTTAGCTGCTTTTGTCAGTACCATACATTCTCATTGCAAAAGGCAGTTTTGCAGAAAACATGATGTGTTTATATGTGGAAGCCAGGATCTTACATCTGCATGCATCACTAAGTACCTGGAGCACATCTGAGCAGGCATTTTTCCTGCACACATAAATTTTGTTACATTTCTTTTCTATAATGCAGAAAAGAAAGCTCTAAACATTAAAAATGAGGAAATTAGTGAAAACACAGAATAGATCAATTAGGAAAATTTTCTTTTGGTTTTATTATTCCTGCAAAGAAAATCTCAGTTTATAGTCTCAAAATTTCACTTCTGTTTACAGGGCTGCTTATCACATTAAATATTTAAGATTATTCAAGTATGTCTAACTCCCACCAATTACAGTTACATGGAAGATAATAATCCCTGCCCCACAGGTACAATGACTTCCAGATGTGAAAAGTTAAACATAGAAAAAGAATTATGAAAGAATGATTACATGAAGGTTGTATTTAATTTTCAGTGGTTATATCACATGGTTATTTTAATGGGAAAGATTAATATGTTATTGCAACTGAAAATATATTGCTGTACTGCAAATTCTTGTAATATTGCCATGATATATGCTACATTGTTATTGCGTTACCTATGATGGAGTCTTGATATACAGAGTTAGTAAAGCTGTAAGTCGCTGAACTGTAATTATTATTTTTTTTTAAATGTATGGATTTTCATCCCAACATTTAATCATTCATAGTCACTGTTCAGGTGTGGAAAAGCAGTAATATTATCCTCATCCTGTAGCTAGCGTGATTAAAGGATCAGTACCACTTTAATAGAAATATGTGGGAAGACCTCTAATTTCATGTAAGCAAGATCAAGTTCCAGAACGCCCTGAAATGTACTGAAGTGTCTGTGGCAGAAGTACAGAACTTCTATGTTGTAACCCTACTTCAAATACTAAACACTAGATTGTCTTCATTACTTCTCTCTCCAAAACAGTTGGGAAAGAGAAAATATAAAGATAAAAGAAGGTAAATGCAAAGGAAGGAAGGGCTCACCATAGAATACTGC